GCAGCTCAGCAGGCAGAAGTTCGGATGGTTTCACTCCCAGCTGCAGTTCATTTGGAGTGTACCCCGTGGATTCATGTACTATCGAGTTCAAGTACTCAGCAAAACGGGAAACCTCTGACGCCAACCTGGAATGTTGCTCACTGCAATAGGTCCTAAACAGTCTTCCCAGTTCCTTCATCACTTTTTCAGAGGGATTACCACATGGGTGTCGGACAGAACTATATACAAGTTTCACCCCTAGCTCCTGCATTTCTCGTTTCCAGAGTTTGGAGGTAAATTGCGTGCCATGATCATGCAGGATCCTCTGCACCAGACCATACAGTATTCCTTAAGCATTCGATTTAGAATGGCTCTAGAAGTAGCTTTTTTCAAATCAACATGCTTAGTGAACAAATTATACAGGACGACCAAGTATCGAGCCCCCTCTCTACTACGAATTAGGGGACCATAAAGACCCATAGCCACAATCTCATCTTTAGATGTTGGGACAATCTGTTGTAGTGGGGGTTTAGGCATTACTGATGACTTAGCCTTTTGACATATATCACAACACAGAACATGTTTTTTCACCTCACGGTGCATGTTTGTCCACCAAACCTCAGAGCGCAGAGCCACCCAAGTTTTATACACACCAAAATGACCTATTCCTTCATGATATGCCAAAATAGATTCACCTATCAGCTGCTTAGGTACACACAAAAGGTAAGAATGTTCATCAGATCCCCTTTTATACAAGACATTATTATGGATCAAAAATTTTCTTTTCAGGTTTGAATCAGAATCTAGATCAGCCTCGACGTTCTGATGTCCAGGAAGAAACTGGACTACAAAAGAATATTCTTATAGAGCCAAAGCCCACCTGGTGGTCCGTGGGGACAGCAGTCTACAAGTGTTTATGTATGTTATGGCCCTGCAGTCGGTATGGAGAGTGAAAGTAACACCTAGCAGATTGTTCTGTCCCAATAACTATAGTATATTAATTTTTTTTGTTTTCTTCATTATTGTATTTTGTACGTTTCAATATACAGTATATCATTATTTTCGCGCATACGAGAGTTTAATGTTAGCGCCGCTTACTACGGCGACACCTTCCACGAGGAGAAGAAAAAGGACAGAGAGCTCAACACCAGGTTCTTTGGACATTGAAAGACTATCTCCAAGTGTCTCCACTTGCAGCGCCATATTTGGTAAAATCACGCGATTTCTCAGTGCGGGTTCGCCGCATTATTCTCATTATTCTCATCCGTTACTAAAAGTGATCGAGTGATCGGTTACTAGTGTCACTAGGAATCAATTTCCATGTTATGGTGAAAGACTTCAACATTTGAACAACCTGTGGCACAGTTGTGTAACAGCTTCGCGTCGGCCGGCTGCAGACTCATCGCTGGATTACATCAGCAGCTTCTAGCGTAGCGATTTCGTTCATGAGTCGCCTAAGCCTAAGGTGGCAACATCAAACTCTCTCGTCTTCATTTACCCATTTCTCACCACTGAATACAGTCCACTCAATCTCACGCGCATAGATCCGTCAATTTTTATGATTCTGGATATTCGCACAACATTTTGATCCTCTTCGAGCCGGATTTGGCGAAATATTGAAATATTTCACATTTTTTCATCAAATCATGATAACATTTCCGAATTGAAATATGGAATTCAGTATTGCTTTTTATCAATTTGGTTCGCTTGAATGTAGCTGGAAGTCAAATACATCATAATTTTTCATATACAAGTACGCAAAGTTGGCAGTCTCAAGTTTATACGAACGACGTGTTTTAATTTCATGCGGAACAGATAATAAAAACAAAAACACATTCGAATTCACTAGATATTTCGAGGTTGTTTTTTGTTTCTAATTCATAACTGTTTCGCCGAAACCCATATTACTTCAACTCCGGTGAAAAAATATATATAGTATACGTACTCTTTTTTCACTACTCCAAATCAGTGGCAAGAATTTAGCCTAATTAGTTTGTTATCCTGTGGCCATCCATTATATTTCATATATACACATTATTTCCAGAAGTTACAGGGTGATTCGAAATAGAAATTAATAATCAATTACAAGTTAACAGTGAATTAATTCTCGCAATTTAAATTTCCTGTTATATCTACCGCTGTTGAGATACTATATTACCCACCATGGAAAAAATAAAAAAATATCAAATTCTCAGACAAACGGAAATGAATCGTATGAAGGAAATTCATGACACCGCTGTCGATGCTGAAGGTCATGAGAATTTTCACTCAATTTTCAAAATTAAATATGAGTTTCTCGAAACTATTAAGAATGAGTTTTCCAAACAACATAATGCTGTTATTTCAATTAGTTCTGACGAAGCATTTGATACTGAAGATGCAATCAGGCGTAATTTTGAGAAGGTCTATTATGCAATCAAAAATATTTTCCATAATTTCTTCAACATAAGTCAACAAGAAAATTCGATTTCACCAATAGCCCCAAAGAACAATATAAGTTTACCTAAACTTCATTTATTAACATTCAGTGAAGATGTAACAACATTTAATTCATTTTTAGATATGTTTGATGCTGTTATTCACAAAAATTTTCAATTAAGTGATATAGAAAAGTTCAATTATCTCATTTCCTCCCTTCGAGGAACTCCTTTGTCACTTGTTCAGAAATTACCCATGACTTCTGGAAATTACTCTATTGCCTACAAAACATTAGTGAATCGTTACAAAAATGATCGGTTGATTGCTGCAGCTCATTGGTCAGCCATCGACAATACCTCCAAACTATCATCTGATAACCCACAAGATTTACGGAACCTTTTGTATATTTCTTTGATAATTTATCAGCTCTCAAACTGTTGAACTTACCAGTTGACTCCTGGGACTTTATACTGGTGCAAATCCCAGATAGCACCAGATATTCATAGAATGTTCTGTCAGTGTTCGATTTGGAAGATATATATCCAGATATAATATAGATGTCCTGAATATATCCAGAATATCTATAGATAGTTATATATTATTCCATTTCGAATATTCATCGTAGGTTCAGTTTCGTATATCCACAGATTATTCGATTGAGAATATTCTGAACGCATTGTTCTATGGATAATTCATGATTATTTATTCTGTATCAAAATCATTCCGTATCGAATATTCGTTGCATGTCTGGTTTTGGATCTCCAAAATTTATTATATTGAGAACATTTCAACTCTATCTATGATTTTTTGTTTTGGAATCGAAAATAGGTTGGTAATAATTCGTTTTTTTCTTCTGTAGGATCATCAGTTTCGATATATTTAGAGATTTGATTGGGATCATTCTATTTCAAATTTCTAATGTCTACTTTCATTTAATTGAAAATATCGCAAAATTGACATGAAGTCATTTTCAACACTTGCACTTGTCGAACTCCCCGCAAATATTAACCTGTCAATCTAACTAGGTACCGTGTACCGAGGCTAGGGTAAGGACCACGCGGACCCGCGGAGAGAGGCTAAATGAAAGAGTCAAGAAGATGGCGGCGATACGACAACATTAGCGTATACACTATACACACTACACAGTCCTGTTTGTAGTTCAAGAAGTTCAAGTAGGTATGAAATTTCAAGCAATAATGATTGATAATGAAGCAATCTATATCAGGTTCTGTTATCGTAGTCGTAGGTGAGTATGAGCATATCTCAATTGCATCAATAGTGGAGCTTTCTTTATTGTTATATAGAAAATCATTTGCCAGATAGGTATACCTCATTGTGTTGAATTGTAAGCATCTCAGGTGCATCAACAATATAACCGATATCAGCTCTCATTTCAGGAAATTGAGGGTAAGACATTCTGAGCCTCTAATATAGGTATACTCAAATAATGAATGATTTCTGGTGAAATGAGGATATGGTACCTACCTATTTTCATGCTGTAGGTACGAACATCACACAAAATTAAACATACTGGGACTATATACCAGCAGACCCTGAAAGAAATACCATACAGGAACAGATCCTCTCAAAATCCTCCAATTCCTAATAGAATTGAAGCTTGAGGGGCTGCTATAAACAATAAGAAGACCTAGAGATAGTAAGAGAGAAGATGAGGCACAATAAAATCTAATCAGGTCAATACCAATTGGGTAGGTTTATTTTTATACTAAGCTATTTTAATTTTTATTCAACTCAAACACCCTGTCACTGATGATGTCACGCCATCGCGCTCCCGCTACCCTGCTTCCCCGCTAGAACACAGACCGCGTTCCAGTTAAGATTAAAGCGTGTATTTCCCTATGCTTATAGTGACGGTCTCCTAGTATAACTACTAATCCCAGTCAAGAAGCATCAGAGCTATATCCATTTGACATGAACAGACTGGGTCAAGGGGCGACTTCCAGAAGGGGTGCTCAATATGTGCCACCAGTGCCACCACCTCCATCGTACTATGGTCAGGGGGTGAGCTCTCGTATGGACCCCCAATACTGTTTTCCACAGCCACCAGCATATTTTCCTGCCAATGTAAATCAGAATATGAACTATAGTATGCCAAATGTGAATCCAAATTTGAATAATTGTATGCCAAATCAAAGTCATAATATGGCACCATAAGTTGCTTTCTTTTTGGAAGTCGGTGACGCACCGGAGCTACTCCAGGTCAAGAAACTTGGCAACCTACCCGTTCTTTTTAGTTCATGCCTGAAGCGCGGGTGCAACACCATTTACTCTCCCCTGCCCCCTCTTGCGCCATCAACGAACTTGGTGTAACTAGAGGGTAACAAGCCCTTTGAGGTTAGAAATAGAGACTGCCAGCAGTGCCAGTAGAAAATGAATAGATTGAATAGTGCGAATGTGAATAAAACATTAGAAATCAGTGATTTCGAGAATAACACCGTTTATAGAATACTTGTCAGCAGTGAGGATTATGATAGGGCAATATCATGAGGCAAGTACACAAGTTTCTTTCCTTTGTATAATTTTACATGTTCATACTTCTTTCAGACAACCAATTTGCGAACTCTTTACTGATTAATGCTAGAATGACAGAAGACTCAGAAGAGCAACCACCTGAAGACGGATTATTAAGCGACTATCAACCTACTGCCAGTACAGCCTCAGATGATGATGACTCCCAAGTTATTCCAGCCAACCCATTCCTAACTAGAGTAACAAATGTTTGGAGTTAAGATCAAACAATCTGCCTTATGAAATCTATGGCCACATATTATTCAGATTTCAATGACCCCAGGAAAAGGAAACATATATTCGAAAATGTAGCTAATGACCTCATCAGTGCTAGGTACACTGTAGATCCCAAACATGTACAAAACAAGTGGAAAGGTTTATTAAGAAGTTATACAAAAGCTAAGGACATAAAAAATAGCACAGGGCAAGGACCTTCCAGATTTTTCTTTTACGAAATGATAGATGATATTGTTGGTAACCATCCAAAGAATAGTTGTACTCATTCTCTGAACAGCTTAGATACACCCATTGTAGCTGATGGAGAAAATGAAGATCCAGATTTGGAAATGGAGAGAAATGATCAGAATAGTACAGAAATTGAGAAACAATTGGAAGAAGATCCTCCAAGTAAAGAAAAAAGTTGTGGTCAAAACAACTTTAGTCCCTCCAAAAAAAGGAAGAGAATAAGTGAAAAGCAATTGAAAAAGGAATATGTTGATTTGAAAAGGGAAGAATTCACAAAGCGTCAGAAAAGACATGAAGAAAAGATTCTCATAGAAAAAGAAAGAAATGAAATTGACAAGAAGAAACTTTCTGTCTTAGAAGAGTATCTCCAAAATAAGACTCGCCATTAATCAAAATTGATATGAGAATATAAGATCATATTCAATATTCAGAGATTTCAAGTTATTTTTGCACAATAAAAAGTTTATTTTATTACCTGTAGATGTTTCTGAAAGTTGATATAAGTATTGTTTTCTATTTTAAGTCTGAAGGCTGTTCTTAGGGTATAGTTATAAGAGACTGATTGTTTTTTGTTGCTCTGAAAGGGTATTTGTGAAATGTTTTTGTTTTACTCTAGAAGGGTATTTATCAAATAAAGAAAATATAATGTTTAATTAATTTATTTCTGACATTAAAAATAGGAAGATACCTGGAGTACACTATAAACTGAACAGTTCGTTGAAGACTTGTTGTTGTCTAATGATTTTCTCTTTCACTTCATTTTGTATACTAGGTATACCATGGAACGGGACATTTGTTGGTTGATTTTGATCTTCTCCTTCTATTCCATCCATTAAATTCATTGAGTCATCTATACAGATGTTGTGTAGAATACAGCATACTAAAATTATTTCAGAACATAACTTGAAATCCAAGTTTTCAAGACCTCCAAGTCTTCTAAATCGTCCCTTGAGAAGCCCAAAGGCATTCTCAACCACTACTCTTTTAGCTGAAAGGCGTTTGTTGAAGAGTTTCTGTTCCTCACTTAGGAAGCCAGTGTCTGGAAATGGTGCCACAATCCAATCCAGGTTGAGATAAGCTGAGTCACCCAATAAAAAAAACTCACCAATGATGCCTGGGTTTTCTAAAATTTTTGCATATAGTGCAGATCTTCTCAATAGCCTTGCATCATGTAATGATCCAGGCTCCCCACAGAAAACATCAATTTTCTTATTGTTATCAACAACTCCCTGTAATAGCAAACTATGATACCCCTTTCTGTTCATATAAGAATCTTGGCTTTCTTCTGGTTTCGGAATTTCAATGTGGCTGCCATCAATTGCACCAATTGTACCAGGAATGCCACCATTCTTTGCAAATTCCTGGGACATTCGTATGTTTTGTTGTTGGTTTGGCCACATAATATAATTATTTTTCTGAGAGATGATAAATTTCAAAAATCGCCTCAGAGCATTGTGAGCAGTACTGAGTGCAACACCAAATCTATCAGAGACTTCTCTGAAGGAATTTTATCGCTTGGAGCGCACGAAAGGGAATCCCTATAATGTTCAAAGAACATCGTGCGTTCCTAAGAAGGATAGGGACAAGAGGTAGGTATTGGAATTTTTTTTGAATTTTTGGAGATTATATGTTGTTGGGAATACTTCCACAGGCAATGAATTCCAGAGCCTAGCCGTTCTATGGATGGAGGAGTCTTGATGAAGTGCTGTTCGACACCTTTCGAGGTTGACAACGAAAGGATGTACTGACTGGGCTTGCCTAGTTCGTCTGATTGGTATTGCTAGTGAAGGGATGATAGCAGAGATTTCCGAAGAACATTTCCCGTGGAAGTATCGATAGAAAAGTGAAAGGTCGCCGACCTTTCTTCGGTGTTCCAATGACGTCAAAGAGTGAGTGAGTGTGGCGTCACCCACCAGGCGAATGGCAGATACGGCCTGTTCTCGAATACTGTTCCCACATATGGGGTTCAGCACCAAAACATACGCTGATGCTCTTAGATTCCATCCAGAGAAGAGCCATTCGCCTGGTGGGTGACGCCACACTCACTCACTCTTTGACATCATTGGAACACCGAAGAAAGGTCGGCGACCTTTCACTTTTCTATCGATACTTCCACGGGAAATGTTCTTCGGAAATCTCTGCTATCATCCCTTCACTAGCAATACCAATCAGACGAACTAGGCAAGCCCAGTCAGTACATCCTTTCGTTGTCAACCTCGAAAGATGTCGAACAGCACTTCATCAAGACTCCTCCATCCATAGAACGGCTAGGCTCTGGAATTCATTGCCTGTGGAAGTATTCCCAACAACATATAATCTCCAAAAATTCAAAAAAAATTCCAATACCTACCTCATGTCCCTATCCTTCTTAGGAACGCACGATGTTCTTTGAACATTATAGGGATTCCCTTTCGTGTGCTCCAAGCGATAAAATTCCTTCAGAGAAGTCTCTGATAGATTTGGTGTTGCACTCAGTACTGCTCACAATGCTCTGAGGCGATTTTTGAAATTTATCATCTCTCAGAAAAATAATTATATTATGTGGCCAAACCAACAACAAAACATACGAATGTCCCAGGAATTTGCAAAGAATGGTGGCATTCCTGGTACAATTGGTCCAATTGATGGCAGCCACATTGAAATTCCGAAACCAGAAGAAAACCAAGATTCTTATATGAACAGAAAGGGGTATCATAGTTTGCTATTACAGGGAGTTGTTGATAACAATAAGAAATTTATTGATGTTTTCTGTGGGGAGCCTGGATCATTACATGATGCAAGGCTATTGAGAAGATCTGCACTATATGCAAAAATTTTAGAAAACCCAGGCATCATTGGTGAGTTTTTTTTTATTGGGTGACTCAGCTTATCTCAACCTGGATTGGATTGTGGCACCATTTCCAGACACTGGCTTCCTAAGTGAGGAACAGAAACTCTTCAACAAACGCCTTTCAGCTAAAAGAGTAGTGGTTGAGAATGCATTTGGCCTTCTCAAGGGACGATTTGGAAGACTTGGAGGTCTTGAAAACTTGGATTTCAAGTTATGTTCTGAAATAATTTTAGTATGCTGTATTCTACACAACATCTGTATAGATGACTCAATGAATTTAATGGATGGAATAGAAGGAGAAGATCAAAATCAACCAACAAATGTCCCGTTCCATGGTATACCTAGTATACAAAATGAAGTGAAAGAGAAAATCATTAGACAACAACAAGTCTTCAACGAACTGTTCAGTTTATAGTGTACTCCAGGTATCTTCCTATTTTTAATGTCAGAAATAAATTAATTCAACATTATATTTTCTTTATTTGATAAATACCCTTCTAGAGTAAAACAAAAACATTTCACAAATACCCTTTCAGAGCAACAAAAAACAATCAGTCTCTTATAACTATACCCTAAGAACAGCCTTCAGACTTAAAATAGAAAACAATACTTATATCAACTTTCAGAAACATCTACAGGTAATAAAATAAACTTTTTATCGTGCAAAAATAACTTGAAATCTCTGAATATTGAATATGATCTTATATTCTCATATCAATTTTGATTGATGGCGAGTCTTATTTTGGAGATATTCTTCTAAGACAGAAAGTTTCTTCTTGTCAATTTCATTTCTTTCTTTTTCTATGAGAATCTTTTCTTCATGTCTTTTCTGACGCTTTGTGAATTCTTTCCTTTTCAAATCAACATATTCCTTTTTCAATTGCTTTTCACTTATTCTCTTCCTTTTTTTGGAGGGATTCGACTTGTTTTGACCACAACTTTTTTCTTTACTTGGAGGATCTTCTTCCAATTGTTTCTCAATTTCTGTACTATTCTGATCATTTCTCTCCATTTCCAAATCTGGATCTTCATTTTCTCCATCAGCTACAATGGGTGTATCTGAGCTGTTCAGAGAAACTATTCTTTGGATGGTTACCAACAATATCATCTATCATTTCGTAAAATAAAAATCTGGAAGGTCCTTGCCCTGTTCTATTTTTTATGTCCTTAGCTTTTGTATAACTTCTTAATAAACCTTTCCACTTGTTTTGTACATGTTTGGAATCTACAGTGTACCTAGCACTGATGAGGTCATTAGCCACATTTTCGAATATATGTTTCCTTTTCCTGGGGTCATTGAAATCTGAATAATATGTGGCCATAGATTTCATAAGGCAGATTGTTTGATCGTAACTCCAAACATTTGTCACTCTAGTTAGGAATGGGTTTGCTGGAATAACTTGGGAGTCATCATCATCTGAGGCTGTACTGGCAGTAGGTTGATAGTCGCTTAATAATCCGTCTTCAGGTGGTTGCTCTTCTGAGTCTTCTGTCATTCTAGCATTAATCAGTAAAGAATTCGCAAATTGGTTGTCTGAAAGAAGTATGAACATGTAAAATTATACAAAGAAAAGAAACTTGTGTACCTGCCTCATGATATTGCCCTATCATAATCCTCACTGCTGACAAGTATTCTATAAACGGTGTTATTCTCGAAATCACTGATTTCTAATGTTTTATTCACATTCGCACTATTCAATCTATTCATTTTCTACTGGCACTGCTGGCAGTCTCGATTTCTAACCTCAAAGGGCTTGTTACCCTCTAGTTACACCAAGTTCGTTGATGGCGCAAGAGGGGGCAGGGGAGAGTAAATGGTGTTGCACCCGCGCTTCAGGCATGAACTAAAAAGAACGGGTAGGTTGCCAAGTTTCTTGACCTGGAGTAGCTCCGGTGCGTCACCGACTTCCAAAAAGAAAGCAACTTATGGTGCCATATTATGACTTTGATTTGGCATACAATTATTCAAATTTGGATTCACATTTGGCATACTATAGTTCATATTCTGATTTACATTGGAAGGAAAATATGCTGGTGGCTGTGGAAAACAGTATTGGGGGTCCATACGAGAGCTCACCCCCTGATCATAGTACGATGGAGGTGGTGGCACTGGTGGCACATATTGAGCACCCCTTCTGGAAGTCGCCCCTTGTCCCAGTCTGTTCATGTCAAATGGATATAGCTCTGATGCTTCTTGACTGGGATTAGTAGTTATACTAGGAGACCGTCACTATAAGCATAGGGAAATACACGCTTTAATCTTAACTGGAACGCGGTCTGTGTTCTAGCGGGGAAGCAGGGTAGCGGGAGCGCGATGGCGTGACATCATCAGTGACAGGGTGTTTGAGTTGAATAAAAATTAAAAATTATATATATACAGGGTGTCCCACGGTTAGACCACCCCACTTTAGGGGTAAATATTGAAGGATTGGGGAGTGTGGGTACTCTGAGAGAAGGATTTTTCGCGAACATTCCAAAAATGGCAACTTGCCTATATGCAAAGTCTCAAGGTTTACGAGATATCGCTCTTAATGCGTTGGAAATATCATATGAAATAGT